GTGTGTGTGCTCAGGTCCCTGTGGCATCTGTTGGAGTTACTTATCTGTAGTGTGTTTGCTCAGGTCCCTGTGGTATCTGTTGGAGTTACTTATCTGTAGGGTGTGTGCTCAGGTCCCTGTGTCATCTGTTGGAGTTACTTATCTGTAGTGTGTGTGCTCATGTCCCTGTGTCATCTGTTGGAGTTACTTATCTGTAGTGTGTTTGCTCAGGTCCCTGTGGTATCTGTTGGAGTTACTTATCTGTAGGGTGTGTGCTCAGGTCCCTGTGTCATCTATTGGAGTTACTTATCTGTAGTGTGTGTGCTCAGGTCCCTGTGGCATCTGTTGGAGTTACTTATCATCTTTTCTTATATTCCTAATTAATTCTATCAGTGCCTAACGTTGTACTAGTTCGTACAAGTATAAACTACTGTACTGGGAATTGGTTCTTACCAGTATTAAATACTGTAATCACAGTTAATTCGTATCAATATTTAATGCTGCAATCCCAGCTAATTCTTACTGGTATGTCCTAATGTATTCAAAACTAGTTCTTACTGGTATTTATTACTTAATTCATGTTTGCATCTTTCACATTCTTACCTTAGTTAATTTGATTTCCAGCTGTTTATTCTGATGATGAAGAATTCTATGATGCTGAAGAACATGCTACTGGAGAATTTATAGTTACTCTTCCAGGAAAAGGACATCGGTAAGTTGTAATTATCACTGGTTGATATCGAAGGACTGAAATAAAAACAGAAGTGTAAGAAATTTCACTCGATTAGTAGATGTTAATTATCAGTAAGTTGTGACACAAGGAACTCATAACTGACATTACTTTGAGCTAGACTTAAAATAAGACCCAAAACTCTAGCGCTTTCAAATAGTTGACTATTCTTCTTGAGGAGAACGAATTCTCCCTTTGTTTTCCTGAAGAATAATAGTCAACTAATCGAAAGCACTCGAGTTTTGGGTCTTATTTTAAGTCTATTACACTTTATATGTGATCCTTTATGCTAACTCTTTTATCAAAATTACTTTGAGCTACTATTGTTATGGTTATTAGTGAGAGTCATATATTAAGTGAGTTGTTAAGTGTCACTAATGCTAAAAATGTTACAACTACTACAGTTTTGGTGATTGTCAATACACTTGCCAGTATTAACTGAATAACCTGCTCGGTGATGAGTTATACAGCAAATATATTATAGTTTTGATGATTATTGCTAGAAAGTGCATATTATATTGAAATTTTGTTGCATTAGTTTTGAGAGTGACATAACTAGTTGTGTGTCACTTTTTGGTGCATATTTGAGTATCTATTCAGTTATATCTGAAAGTTATACAAAGAATTTAATTTTTTGATTAGTAAAAATAATAAAAATATGAATTATATTAGTGTTAAGTTTTACTTCAATGTTTTTCTTGTGGATTTTTTGGAAGTTATACTTATGTGTGTTGAAAGTTCCCCTTGGATACATCGGGAGTTCTTGAATGTATTGAACGTTTGAAGTGTAATGGGTTTTACTGAGATGGACTGAAGGTTTGAAGTGTAATGGGTTTTACTGAGATGGACTGAAGGTTTGAAGTGTAATGGGTTTTACTTGGATGTATTGAAGGTTTCAAGTGTAATGAGTTTTACTTGGATGTATTGAAGGTTTCACATGTAATGGGTTTTACTTGGATGTATTGAAGGTTTCACATGTAATGGGTTTTACTGAGATGGACTGAAGGTTTGAAGTGTAATGGGTTTTACTTGGATGTATTGAAGGTTTCAAGTGTAATGGGTTTACTGAGATGTACTGAAGGTTTCATGTGTAATTGGTTTTACTTGGATGTATCGAAGGTTTCAAGTGTAATGGGTTTTACTTGGATGTATCGAAGGTTTCAAGTGTAATGGGTTTACTTGGATGTATCGAAGGTTTCAAGTGTAATGGGTTTTACTTGGATGTATCGAAGGTTTCAAGTGTAATGGGTTTTACTTGGATGTATCGAAGGTTTCAAGTGTAATGGGTTTTACTTGGATGT